GGCGTCTACGGCGCCTCGCGCGCCGCGCTGCACCGCCCTGCTGCTGGCGTTGTGCAGGGCAGCAGGCTAGGAACTCGCGCGCGCGCGTGTGTCGGCCTGCTGCGCTGCGCGGATCAAAAGCAATGACTCCAATGCGACGCTGTCTGGGCTTATTCTTCGTTCTTTCGGAGGCAGGGTCAAGGCAGGCCGAAAATACAGTGCCTGAACCGAGTGCACAGCCATTCGAAAGGTTGACGCCGTTCTGCCAGCCCCCAGAAAAGAATCTGTGCGGGTTTCGGTTTCGTGCGTATGTGTGTGTGTGTGCTTGTGTGCGTAAGTCTCTGTGTGTGAGAGTGGGGTGAATGTGTGTGTGTGATGTGTGCGTGCGTGTGCGTTCTTGTGTGTGCGTGTGTGTGCGTGCGTGTGTTCGCGCGTGCGTGCGTGCGTGCGTGTATGTATGTGTGTATGTGTGTATGTGTGTGTGAGTGAATGTGTGTGTGAGTGCATGTGCATTCGTGCGTGTGTGCTTTCGTGCGTGTTGATAGCGTATTGTATGCGATGTTGTTCTGGTGTCAGGCGATGATCATGAAGGAGAAGAAGCATCCGGAGTACGCTGTCATGTTGTGCTTCGATGTCAAGGTCAATAGGGAGGCGATGGAGCAGGCCAAGACCGACGGCGTTCAGATTTTCACCGCCGACATCATCTACCACCTCTTCGACAAGTTCACTGCTTACATGGAGAAGCACAAGGAGAGGTGGGGAGGAGGAGGAGGAGGAGGGGGTTGTTTCGCGACCTGCGGAGACGGAGTAGTTAGGGGGCGAACAGCAATGTGGCGGTCATAGGTTCGGGATTCGAGGGCGGGTGGTTCTTGCTCAGACACGGCGACCCGTGCTGGTCGGGGCTTTCCGCTTTCACGCCCCCTCTTCTCCCCCTTGCTCCCTCGAATTGCTAAGTTTGCTTCCCTCAGCCACCTCCTCTCCGCTCCCTGCTGCTGCTCCCCATCCACAACCAGCAGCGTGCATCAGCATGCGTGAGTCGACGGTTCCTGAACCTCCTTCTCATTCCTCCTGTTGTTCATCTCCCTCATCATCCCTCCCCCCTCCTCGTGCCGCCTCTCCTCCCTTTCCCTATCCTCCGCTTCCTGCTGTTCTTTCCCTCCTTCATGTCCCTCGTCCCTCCTCATCCTGCCCTCTGCTCCCTCCTTTTCCTCCTCCTCCTCCTCCTCCTCCTCCTCCTCCTCCCCCTCCTCCCCCGTTCTCCCCTCCCTCTCCTCCCGTCCCGCTCCTTCTGGTCTCCCCCCTCATCCTCATTTTTCATTCTCCCGAAGTCGTTCATATCCCTCGTTTTTTGTTGCCCCCCTTCTTGGGGGTAAAAGGAGAGGAAGAGGAAACACGTGGACACGTGGGGGGAGGCAGGATGATAATCAGGGAGGGTTGACGGAGGGGAGCGGGAGGCGCCTTTTCCACTCCGCCCCCTTCCCCCCCCAATGACCATCCTCATCCTCATTCGCCCCCCTGGCCCTCGATTCAGCCGCGCCCGCTCGGGCTGTGACGGCAGAGCGGTCCGCTTCTGCCCAGGGCCACGAGGAGGTCGGCTCGCGGCCCATCGGGGGAAGGGGGAGGAGGAGCAGGAGCAGCAGTAGGAGGAAGAGGTCGTGCAGGATGATCGGAGGAGGAGGAGGATGAGGAGGAGGAGGAGTCTCGACTTCGCCTGTTCGCCGTTGGGCGCCCTGTGGTTGCTGTCCTTTTCACGGCCTGGTGGCCGTGTCCCGCCTGGCGATCCGTCTTGGACGATCTGGGCGAGGCGTTTGATTTTATCCTCATGAGGCTTTCAAGAAAGGGCATCGGCTTCGAGGAACCAAGGCGTTGGTATCTCTTCCTCGGCGGAAGATGGCGGATGGGCGGCGGAAGGCGGCGGAAGCACAACGAGGCGCCTCCGCTGGCGGAAGCCGGCGGAAGTAAAATCGGCCTCCCAAGAGATGGCAAGGTTCTGGGTTCAGGGATTCCGGGACCCGCCATGCCTGCCACCATGTCTCCCGCCAGGGTCGCGGCAGCTGTACAGATCCGGCGACAAATGGCGAGCTAAGCGCGTGGTCGCAGTGTTCCCGTCCATCGTTGCAGGCCCGCCAGCCCTGCCGACAATCCAGGGCGCTGGCTCACTCACGATCCTCGTGGGGCGTCCCCTGGCGACACTGCTCACGGGCCAGGGGCGCCCACACCGCACCGTGCCGCAGTGGTCGGGCCCATGTCGCTCGATGCTCCCGTCTGCTGTGTCAATGGCCGTCACGGGCCCCAGGTGCATCTCGCTTGGCTTTAGGAATGCCGACGGGGTCGTTGACCAGAACTGTCAGCTCTGCGGCGCGGCGTTGGGCACCCTCCTGCATCGCCGCGTCGGCGCTTGCTTTGGGCTTGTCAAGCAACTCCGCAAAGTCACAGCTATTGCCACAGCACGAGCAACAGTACTTACAATGAACATATTCTGAACTAGCCGACCTTGCTGGCATGACGGGCAAAGACCTTCTTTTTGAACAAAAGCGTATCCTACACGACCGTGAAACTGTGGCTCAAGGTTATCATTTGCTTGGCCCGACCAGAGAGCCAACGAAAAAACGGAGACGTGCGAATTGAGTGTATACAATGCAAAAGGACAAGTACAGTGTTGTGTTGGGTTAGATTGCTTTCTGATCATGATAACCCTGATGGACGAAAGTCTGGCTCGAAACGATCACTAACATATTGGACAGCAGATATTGAATCCCACGACAAGCGCACCAAGAAGCCAGGCAACCGTTGTCATGTTCTACTTCCTTTTCGACCTTCTGACGTTGGCAAAGTCTTTGTGTGTGCTAATTTCGGACAGACTTCAAGGCATAAAGCGAGTTCGTGGTTTTTGCTTTCACATATGTAGCAAGCGCTGATATGGTGATATAGTGAAGATGTTGACTTGAATATGTTTTATGATGCACTTGGACGTGTACCAAAGTGAATATGTTTTTATGAATACATTCACTTACTCTTTATTCACTGCGGACGTGTGCCAAAGTGAAATATCACAGTACAGACACGGAGGGCGCTGGTTTTAAGTCGGGAATGTTCCTCTACAGGAGGAATATTCAAAATTGTCAAAATGTAATATGGAGACGATTTTCACTCATGACATGTCTTGAGTTTGTTTGGGCTATCTTTTGTTTTTCCATTCTAAGATCTGCCTGTAGGGGACATGCCCGACCAAACGCTGGTTCTCCGCCCCACTGGACGCCACGCTGACCGACCTTTGTTCGTAGGCGGACGGGCCCATGAGGTTCGGCCCACTGCGAACTCCAGCGCGCTGGGTGCGGTATTGTGGTCGCCTCTGACCGCGGAGACTTCGTGGCATACGTATGCGCTGTGCCTCCTCCCTGCATCCGCTGGCAGCGGCTGCGGAGCTCTGGGCCGTGCCCATTGTGCTCTCCGTTCTTGTCGTGCCGCCCCGCATCCGCACGGATTGCCAGTCTACTCTCGCTGCTGCGGCTGGCACGATTCAGGCTGCCCGGCTTACGCGCATGCCTGCGCAGCTCTCGTCGCGCGTGTCCGTGCTCCTGGACGGCGACTCCTCGGAGCTACTCACGGCCACAAGGCCCGCTCGGCTGCTGGCGCTCGATTCCGAGGCCACCATCAGCACCACCAGGGGATCCGATGGGCACGTGCTCGCTGCAGAGGATTGGCTCACGCATCGCCTGGCGCACGCTGCTGCCGTGTAGGCGGTGGAGAGGCTCGTAGTGCACAAGGGCGCGGTCCCTGGGGCCGCCACCCCTGCCGCCAACGACGTCGACGTCGACGTCCCAAGACCTCGATGTCCTCTGCGACGACGACGTCGACGACGACGTCGTCGTCGACCATGACGTCGACGTCGATATTGTGCGGGTCATGTCGACGAGGACGTCGACGAGGACGTCGACGTCGACCTCGTGCGGGTCCTGTGCCGCCACCCTCGCCGCCAACAACCGCGGCGCCCCTCCCGGCGCTCGCGCGGCCGCCCTCCTGGCGCTGCAGGCGCGGCGCGCGGGCGCGCCGCCGCCGCGCCGCCGGGCCAGGCGCCGGCTCGGCTTCGTCGTCGTCGTGGTCGTCGTCGTCGTCGTCGTCGTCGTGGTCGTTTTCGTCTTCGTCGTCGTCGTCGTCGTCGTCGTCGTCGTCGGGCGAACCCCGCAGCGCCCGTCGTCGTGTCAAAGATGTGGCCGCCGCGTGGCGCGCCCGCGGGCACCGGCCCCCGCCCCGCCTCGCTGCGGCTCCGGCCGCCGGCCTCCCTCGCGGGCCTCACTTCCCTTCCCCCTCTTCGAGTCGATCCGATCTCGACTTCGATGGACTCCGATTCGGAGTCGATCCGGCTTGGGACTCGGATTCAGGTTCCGATTTCTCTCCGGACGCACACTGGCCTGCCGATTTTTCCGCCGATTCGAGTTTTTCCGACTCGGCTGCACTCGTGTCGATCGCCGATCCGGCTTCTCGATTCGATTCTGGGCTCTCCTGCCCTCGCGGGCCTGGGGCCCCGTGCAAGGAGCGCGCCGCCACGACCCGCGCTGCCTCCTGCGGCACGGGCAGCCGCGGGCCCAGACCCCCGACTTCCTGGTTTTTTGTTCACAGCGTCGACCCCCAGAGGAGGAAGAGGGAGGAGGAGGCCTCCTCCCTCTTCCTCCTCTGGGGGTCGACGCGTCTTCCTCCTCCTCCCCCCCACTTGGGAGGCCCAGAGGAGGGGCGAGAGACGCTGGCAGAGGCAAGGGGGGCGACAGCTAGGACGCCGATTGAGTGGGCGGCAGCCAGGGCAGATCGGGGGCACCGGGGGCTGCGAAAGCGCCCGAGAAAGAAAGGTAAAGGTAGGGAGACACTTTCGGGTATAGCCAGGACCCAAGGTAAGGAGACCCGGTTGGTGGTAGGGCCTCGCTGCCCCTAAATTTGCCAGAATCACTCAATTACGTCTGCCGTAGCTGGTGTTTTTTCGGGTGACGGCACGGCAGTTTCGGTTAGTTGAACGGAGCGGGGGGGGCGTCCCACAGTACACATCACTAAACCAGGTCCCACTAATCCCAGTGCTGCCAACGCCCGACTTGTGTGGACGTGAGACAATCAGGAGGAACGAAGCAGACACACACACACAGACACAACTAAGCGTCGATGATCCCAGGAAGGATGGGACAACAATAGAAGTGGAGGGGAAGAAGGCGAGACTCCCGAAAATATGGAAACGTGTGGTGAATCCTGGGATCTGTGCCCAGTTCGTTGTGTCCCGCGGGGCGCCCTCAGACAAAGAGTCGCGCCAGAGGTCCTCTTTTGTGATGTCCCGCGGCCAGAGGCCGCTGCTGGGCCCAAGAGGAGGAGGAGCCGAGAGTCCCGGCCCGGGGCGGGAAGCCGCCCAAGGCGCGGAGGGGCCGAGAGAGCTCGGGGCCCCGTTCGGCCACGCGCAGAGGAGTGGGCCCTCGTGCCCCCTGCTGCCCCCTCCCCCCCCCCCTGCGTGGAGTAGATCTCGGCCGTGTTCGGCGCCTGTTCCGAGCGGGCGGAGTCTTTTTCCCTTGGGACGCACTGGTGCGAACAGCCGCATGGAGCAGAGGTCCGGAGCCAGACCCCGCCCCCTGCCCCCCCCCCCTCCCGTCCGCCCAGTGTCGAGACGCCACAGAAGAGAGCGTTCGCCAGGGCGGGGCAAGACGAGGCCAGGACGAGGATAGCACCACGGCCTCCTGCGCGTCCTGGGGCCTCCTGGGGCCTCCTGGGGCCTCCTCGGGCCTCCCGAAGCCTCCCAATGCTTACGGCGGCTCTGACAGGGGCAGGCTTGCTCCGCCAGAGCGGCCGTTCTTCCTGAGAGGTCCGGAACAAGATGGGCGGCGCGAGCGGGCCCGTTGTAATACTGAGACGAAGCCAGGACGAGGACAAGATCGATAGTGCGAGGATAAATCTAGAATCTCTGAGATCCAGCAGCTCTAGAGGATGTATCGGGCGTCGCGGCCTTCTCGGAGCGTTCCGGAAAGCTCTGAGAGCACTCCGGAACGCTCCAGAACGATCCAGAACGGATTTATCCTTGTCCTAGCCCCGTCCGATCGAGGGAGGGGGGAAGGCTTCTTAGAAGCACCCCTGTTTCGTAGAAGAGGCGGGCCTTGTCTGCAGATGCAGGTCTAGCGCCTTCTAAGAAGCGGCATCCTTCTGAGAAGACTTTCCCCCCTCCTACCCCCTCGTGCGCCCGCCAACCTGTTCGGGCCGTGCATTGAAGGCCTGTGTTAGTGGTATTCCATGTCCCAGTACTCATCTGAGCGCCCTCTGACACTTCAGGAATCGATCGCTTCCTGTTCTGACTGCCCAGGGCTAGTGCGTGCCAAAGTCTGACCTGCTTGAACCACATTCCTATTGAACGCTTCTGACGAACAAGACGTCAGAGGTCGTTGTACATCTCTACCTCCATCCGTCTCCCAATCTCCTGGGGCGAGCGGATCAGACGGGCTCTGCACATCCTCATCCCCCGCCCCATCGACCTGCATCGGCACGGGCCAGGAGTCCCAGAAGACCAGTACGCGCGCGGAGGCCATCTTCCCTGTCATCCTCGAGATCGACAAGAACCACGTCTTCGCCCGAAAGGACCCGATTGTCTGCGCGGTCAAGGTTCTGGGAGGCGGCGTGTCGTACTCTTCTGCGTTCCGCCCGCTTCTCCACCATCCTCGTCCCCTTCTGTGGTTCTCGCCCCTCGCAGTCATTCGCTTCTTGGTCGACCGCGCTTGGCCACATTTCTCTTGTCCGACTCGTAACATACCGCTAGTGGCTGTTCTCCCCCCCCCCAGAGGCCAGATACGCGTGGGCACGCCAATCTGCATCCCCGAGAAGGACAATCTGGAGATTGGGCGTGTTGCAGGAGTCGAGAAAGACAGGAAGCCCGTGCAGATTGCCAGGAAAGGAGAAACGGTTTGCGTGAAGATCGAGCAGAACACGGCTCAGAATCACCTTGCATTTGGCCGTCATTTCGATGCCACAAATCACTTGTATTCAAAGATCACCCGGGAGAGCATCGACGTCCTGAAGGAGCATTTCCTGGATGAGATGAAAAAGGAAGATTGGGAGCTGGTGATTGGCCTGAAGAAGGTTCGGCGGCGAGAGGGGGGGGGGGAGGAGAAGGCCTTCTCAGAAGGCGGCGGGGCTTCTCAGAAGCCCTCGCAACTTCTGAGAGGTTTTCTGTGTCCTGGGGGAAGGCTCAGAAAACTTCTCAGAGGGCCGGGGGACTTCCGAGCCTTCTGAGGAAGGCCCGCCATTGCTCTCCTGCGGCCGTTCGGGCCGATCCTGGTACCCCCGGAACGCCCTCGGTGAGGTGCAGCCGCTGGCGCTGGAAAGCAGTCCGAGGCTGCATCACCGCTAAGAGCCACGTGCGGAAACGTCCTAAAACATGGCAGCTCGAGCCCGGGAGCCTGGCAAGAGTTCCCCCTGGGCTCGCTGCCGAAAGGTGTTCAACATCAGCTGACTCCGCGGTGCTGGAGAGGAAGCGCAGCGGAGCCGCACGCCTCTGATGGGCCTGATTTCCACCACAACCACCATAAGTTGGAGGGGGGAAGGAGGTGGAGCAAGAGGAAGAGGAGGAGGAGGAGGAGGACGAGGAGGAGGACGAGGAGGAGGAGGAGGAGGAGGAGGAGGAGGAGGAGGGGGAGGAGGAGGAGGAGGAGGAGGAGGAGAGGAGGAGGAGGGGAGGAGGAGGAGGACCCCCTCCCCCTCCTACCTGTGGTGGTGGCGGTGGAAAAAACAAAGCCCACCGGCCTCGGCGGAGGGGGGGGGGCCTGGCCGCGCCCGCGCCGAGGGCCTCGCCAGAGGCCGAGCCCGTCGGCCTCGCGCCCGCCCGTGGGCCGCCGACCGATCGGCGCAGGGCGCGCGCCAGACGGTGCGCAGGGCTCCACCCGCGCCCGCCGCGGCGAGGGAGGGCGAGGGGGGGGGGGACGGGAGGAGAGGGGGGGGACAACGACAAGGGGGGGAGGAGAGAGGGAGGGCGAGGGGGGGGGGGATGAGAGAGGGGGGGCAACGACAGGGGGGGATGTGCACAGGCTTATATGGTGTTCCAACCTGCTCCAGTCCTGGCCACCAGGGAGAGCGTCGAGCACCAGGGGAATTCCGAAGCCTGTGGGTTTTCACGTGTCGGGCCCTGGGAGGCGACACTCTTCCGACACTGTTTCGACGCTTTTCTTGGTGCTCGAAATTATGCCTGGGATGTGGTCCTCAGGTACGATGGGAGCAACCCAAGCATAGGCATAGGTCAGGAGTGGAGGAAGCACACAGACATACTTACACGTTCCTTCCCCAGAACATGTGGGAAAAGGTAGGGGGCTCCTGGGATTTGTGTGTATTTATTTGCGTGTCCCTGGGCCCCTTCCGACCGACCAGAAAGGGGGGTCATAGGCGGCCTAACCGACCCCTAGCAAACCATCCCCTTCTGTGTGACGCCCCGCTCGCCTCGCCCCAAGACGTACGTATGCGGCCGGAGGGGAGCTCGAAAGGCGAGGATGACGCCACGGAAGGGGATGGTTTGCTAGGAGTCGGTTAGGCCGCGCCCGAGGGGGGGGAGGAGAGAGGGGGCAACGACAGGGGGGGGTAGGCATAGCTAGGGGGGATGCATCGAAGCCCCATTCGCGCATTGATCGCTGATAGGGCCTCCGATAGCCCCAGCCTGCCCAGGAACGTGCGGATTCGCTACTGGGGGCTTATCGCCGATCTATCGGTGATGTATCGCCGATTCCAGGTCGATGCTTCCCCCCCTGTGCCTATCCCCCCCACCGTTGCCCCTCAGGAGAGAAGGGGCGGGGGGAGGGAGGGGGGAGGAGCGCGGGAGGCTAAGGGGTTGCTTTCGTATCGTGCTGGCATGGCTTTTTGATCGACCAGCTCGACTGGATCGTCAGTTTTGGCTTGCCTTCAAACCGTTGATGCGTCCTTCTGTTAGAGGACAAATCTCGGAATCGCGCTTTGGGATTCAATTTGAAATTTGGGGCGGGTGTTGCCCCTGGAGGAGGAGGAGGAGGAGGAGGAGGAGGAGGAGGAGGAGGAGGAGGAGGAGGAGGAGGAGGAGGGAGGCGGACGAGGTGAGGGGGGAGGAGGAGAGGAGGGGAGGAGCGGCGGGGGAAGGAGGAGGAGGAAGAGGAGGAGGAGGAGGGAGGAGGAGGAGGAGGAAGAGGAGGGGGAGGAGGGAAGAGGAGGGGGAGGAGGAGGAAGAGGAGGAGGGGGAGGAGGAGGAGGAGGAGGAGGAGGAGGCGGGCCACTCCTGGAGGGCCCCTCGCTCGCCTCTGGGCCTTCCCTGGAGGCGGCGGGGCAGTGGGGGGGGGTAATCCCTCCTCCTCCTTCGGTCCGTCTCTATATGCATCGTGCTGCGCACTCCTCGGGATCCGCCTCCCCCTTGGATGGGCAAGCATTCAAGTTGGAGCAGGATATGCACGTGGGGAGTGGACGAGGCGGAGGAGGTGGGCGCGGGAACGCTTTCGATCAGCAGTCCGAGGGAGGTGGCATGGTAGGTGCTGGAGCGCCATGTCCCAGGCAAGATGCGAACTCTCCTGCCTCTGTCCTCGCTTCTGCCTCGTCCTTCCACCCTGTGCCTCTTCCTCCTGTCGGTCTTGTCAGGGACGGTTAGGGCGATTGTTGCCAACAAGCTTGGGGGCCGACCCCCGCTTTTCTCCCATTACTCGATATCTCGGGGGGAAGGTGGAGTGGGGCAAGTCTTCAGTGAAGTTTCTGCCTGCGCGTGCGAGTTTGGGGCCCCAGGCGTTGAAGGGTTGAAGGGGATAGACGGAAGGTAGGGCATGTTTCGGCCTTGTAGGATTTAGCACCACGGTTATCAGAGTTCATGCTCACGGGTCGCCCCACTGACTCCTTCTTTTCGATTATCCAGCTGGGTCTTGCGGCCACCGATAAACTCGCTGCATCTGCAGCCCGACCCACCCTGGAGCTCGATCCTGCTAGCTTAGCTGCCGGACTGATTGGCATCGCACCACAGCTTATGATCAGGCGACTCTTCTGCGCGCGGGCTGCGGGGAGGGGCATGATCGATGGACTGCCGAAGCATGGGAGAAAGGGATAGCAGGGCTTGGGCACGAACTGAAGAGGACCAGCGTTGTACAGGGGGGGCGAGGAGTCTACACAGACGTGGTCGCCCCCCACCTGTGTTTTGAATAGGTCGGTGCGTGCCCGCGACAGGCGTTCGGAAAACAGGCCAGCCACCTCGATGCCTCGATTACGCGGGCCTGTCCGTCTGGTGGCCCGGGCCTTCGTCCGATGGTCCGGGTAAGACGAATCCAGGATGAGGAATACAATCGGGTGAGGAAATCCTCCTCCTCGTCCTCCTCATCCTCCTCCTCCTCATCCTTCTCTTCCTTCTTCTCCTTCTCCTCCTCCTCCTTCTCCTTCTCCTCCTCCTCCTCCTCCTCCTCCTCCTCCTCCTCCTCCCTTTCCTACCCCGCCTCCTCCCCACTCGGGCTCCTTCATGTTCCGCCGCTCCTCCCCTCCTGTTTGACCCTTGTCGTTATCCCGCTGCTCCTCCCTCTCTCACTCCTCCCTCTCATCGTCGCCCTTTCTCCTCCGCCCCCACCCTCGCCGCCTGCAGTCAGGACCCTGATATCAGACGGCGCGGGGATCCCCACCTGTACATACCAGTTCCTGGTACTTCCGTCTGTGAGCGTCCGGGTGAGGGAATCTCGGCATGTGGCGACCGAGCGCTCCCTTTCGACAATTGGAAGGGGAGAAGTCCGGGGTGCCCAAGCCAGCGTTTCTCTTGAGAGGTCCACGATCCAGGGTTCATTTCGATTCCTCCGATTCGATTCGAGCCGATTTCGATCCATTCCGATTCCGATTCGATTCGACTTCAGATTCCGATTTGGATGTTGGTTTCTTAATGGAGGCCATACGAGCCTGCCGATGTTCGCTGATTCGATTTCTCCCGACTTGGTTGCCGATTCCCGCCGATTCGATTCATGCCGATTCGATTCGATTCTGGGCTCTCATGCGATCTGGTCGCGAACTGGCATGTGTAACCTCCCCTGGCGGCTTCCCCGTGGGGTGCACAAGTGATGTGTCTGTATCGCGGTGGTTATGGGCCTCTGAACGGAAAGGAGCCGGATGTGCTTCATTCCGCGAGCCGTTCGAGGCATCCCCGCAGTCTAGGTGCGGAAGGCAGGCGCAGCGCCCTGTGGCGGGTCCTCATTGCGGTACGCAAGTGTTATGCTCGTGAGATTGAAGTGATCCTGGGGGTTCCAAAGGGAAAAGTCGGGGGGAGGGGGCGCCCAACGAGCGAGCCACTCAAGACCTCCCCACAGTCCGTGCCATCTGGGCGCGAACGGGCCAGTGTCCCCCTCGCGGGCGGCTTCCCCCGCTGGGATCCCCCGACTGCCACGCCTGCTGTGCCATGGTGGCCGTGGGCTCTCAAACGAGAGGGACTTGGCCCTCCCAACGCAGAAACCGCCCGCGGCATCCCCACGGCGTAGGCGGGCAGGTGTCCCCCTTCCCGATGGCTCCCGCTTGGGGCGCCCGAGTGCCGCGCCTGCCGTGCCGCGGTGATCCTGGTGCTCTCAGGCGGAGGGGAGCCTGCGGGACCCGAGCAGGCCGTCCGTTCGAGACGTGCCAGCAGGTGTGGCGCGGCCAGGGGAGACGACGCCACTCCCGGTGGCTCCCCCGTGGGGTGCCCGAGTGCCACACGCGCCATGCCGTGGTGAGCCGTGGGGCTCTCTCAGAAGAGGGGGGCCTGGAGGGAGCCAAGCAGGCAAACCGCTCGAGACATCCCCTTGCAATCCGGGCGCGGACTGGGAAGTTGAACCACCCCGGTCGGCTCCCCCTTGAGGTGCCTGAATGCAACGCCTGCTATGTCGCGGTGGTCCTCGGGCTTGACACGACAAGAGTCTGGTGGGGCAAACCAGGCAAGCCGCTTGAGACATCCTCTCACAATCTGGGCGCCAACGG